TCGAGGCCGAGCGAGCTGCCGAGGCTCTCGATGGCCGTGTACCAGAACGTGGAGAGCGCGGCGGGCTTGGCTGGGTCCATGACGGTTCCCGATACACGTGCCGCCCAGCTGCCGCCATTGCTGTTGCGCGTGTCGACCTTGAGGAAGCTGGTCTCGAGACGGTAGTTGTTGACATTGTCGTTGATCTCCTGGATGCCGAACTCGCGGCCGTCGTGATACTTCCAGGTGAAGCCCTTCATGCCGTCCTGATCGCTGCACTGGTGTCGCATCTTTTGAAACCCGCTGTAGTCCTGCAGCCCGAACCACGCGAGGCCGGTGAGGAGCGAGTCGGGCAGGCGCGGACGCAGGCCAAAGTAGATCTGCGGACGGTACGTGCCCCAGAGCAGCGAGGCATCGGCGTCAGCCTGGGCCTGGACAGCCTCTGGACTCTTGACGAAGCTCGGTACGCTGTCGTCGCCGTCCAAGTCATCGTCGAAGTCATCTTGGTCGTAGGCGCGCGCGCTGTCGGTACCCAAGACGAGCAAGAGCGCCAGCGAGGCAACCAGCAGAACCGCCAGGGTGCGGATCGGCCATGTCGACCGTGAAGCGCGGTATGTGACCATCGTGCAGAGCGGCAAGACCAGCTGCCGTGTCTTGCCAGTCGATGCTTTTGGTGGTTGCGTTGAGGGGCGACTCTTCGTGTTGCTCTTCTCCGCTCGGCGCGAGCCTGACGTGGAGGCTGAGCGACAGCCTCTGTTCTTCTGGACCTCGTCGTGTGAAGCGCTGTGTGCAGCAGATGCCCCGTGGGTCGATTTATTTTCAGAGTGTTAGACTCGCTCCGCTCGAGCTCGAGTTTTGAGATTTCGGCGCAGAGGCGATCGACGGCACAGGTAAGGGGGCCTCCATATGAGGAGCCGCATGAACCGACCCACGGCGGGCGCGAGAGCCCAGCTGCATCGGCAGCGCTGCCATCCTTCAATTGCCGCATCTCGGACGGCCGAACTTCACGCGATGATATCACTCGGACCCATTGTGCGGGCGGGCTCGCGACCAATTCATCCAAGGCTGTTCAAGATGGACTCACGATCGACCGAGCCGCTCCATCGTAGGTCATTGTTGGCTCTCACCTGTCCCCCTTTTAGAGCGCCCGGACTGTGGTCTCGGAGGCGAACGAAAACAGGAGCTCGTCGTGCTGCTGCTAGAGCGACCGCTGCATGACCTCGGGGATTTTGGTCCGGGATGATTGGCTTGATGCACATCCCTTCCTGCTGCTGTGTTGCGCTGGAATGGAGCCGAGGCGAACCAGGGAGCGACAAAGGGTCGTCGTCGCATCAGCTGCTGCATCAAAGAATGGTAGCAGCAGCAGCAGCACGGTCTCCACCGTGTGCAGCTTCCAAGAGCAACGGAAATGCGTGGATCGGCGCTTTCCCCTCTCAGCAAGCTTTGGCTTCCATTTCCTCGGTTGGCCGATCTTGAGATCCAAACAAAAATCCCATCTCGCCGCGCTGCAGAAGGTGCTCGCAGATGGCGGTGCGTCGGTGCGTCAGGTGCGTCGATCTGCATCAACGCGCGGTTGAGCTTGTGCGGGTGAGTGGATGTGTGTGTGGGACTGTGTGTGTTGTGCGTGCGGTGCGGTGTGGGTGTGGATGGGCCGAGTCGCGCCTCTCGAGCCAGCCTGCCCGCCTGCCTGCCTGCCTGCCAGCCCGCCAGCCAGCGATGCAATTTTCCAAATGCGCACGCACTCACACTGCAGCTCCGCGCCCCTCGGAGCGCAATGAGCGCCAAGTCCGCCTGGCTGGCTGGCTAGCTGGCTCGCTCTTTTTGGTGCGCTCGGCCTCGCCTTGGCTGCGTGCGCTGCCACGGGGTGTTGGATGTCTCGGGCGGCCGGGGGCAGCAGAGCAACCCTTGTCTCGCTTTGGTCCATCGCTGCCCAGCTGCTCGATCGGCCCCCACCACCGCTTCTCCTCTTGCCTCCTCATCCCTGCCGTCTGCCTGCCCCTTGGTCCGCTCGAGCAGTCATCCAACACAGGCCGATCGTCGCGCCGTTCGCATCATCCGAGCAACGCGCGAGGCTCTTTCGTCGCCTCATACGCTCAGCAGCACAGCACGGGCATCCTCCAAACACCACCTCGGCAACGTGTCGATAGATCGCTGCCAGCATCCAGCCTCGCGGTGACGAGGATACTGCATCCACAAGTCTTGGACACGATTCGGAGCTCTCGTCCATCAGCGTCCGTCATTCCATCTTGAAGCCTCAATCACACCGACCAAGCGGTACTTCTGATCCGGACCGTCGTCGGAGCATCCGAGACAGCCACCCGCGAGCGCATCCGCACGCCGCCAGTACCCTTCCATCTGCTCCGGCACTTCCATAGCAGCTGCGATCCCGTTCCAGGCCCGACAGTCCTCGTTTCTCACGACAACCTCCGACTCCACTCTCTCTCTCTCTCTCTCTCTCCCTATAATCACACACACGCTCCCTTCATGATCGCGCAGGTAAGCATCACACATCCTCCTTTGCGCCCTGCTTTTAGCCTGGACAATTCCTCTGACGCTCCACCTGCCCCCCACCAACAGCAACGTCCATCTCCGGCCATGTCAGGTTCTTCGTTCTTCTCACAGATCTCCTCGTTCTTCGGAGCCACTCCCAACTCCAATTCGCGATCCGGCGCACGACACTCGTCTCCCTTCAGCTCGGGCCTTCCGTCCTCGTCACGCCGCGGTCCACCTCAAGCGCTCGACGCCAATGCGTGGTCGTTGCCTTACAGCAGCCGCAGCAGCATCCCCGCCTCCCCCGCTTACCCTGCCGATGCTCCCAACTCGGCCACCGACAGTCACTATCCGCCAGCCGCTGGCATCGCACGCGCCTCCTCGCCCTACGCACACGACCATCCTCCCGTCTCCACCAGCTCCGTCGCAGAGTTCAGCAACATGTATCCGACCGCATCCACCTCCACCCTCGTCCCCGGCACCGCTGGCAACACCGTCAGCGTCTCGGCCGGTGGTTCGGTGCCCACCACCGCCTATCCACCCATGCGCCACACCTGGAACCGCATCCGCAGATGGTGCCGCAAAAACTACCCCGAAATGTCCGACACGCTCAACTGGCCCTGCACCGAAGACGCGCTCGACGAGCTCGAGATGACCATCGGCTACGCGCTCCCCTCGGCCGTGCGCGAGTCCTACCTGGTCTACGACGGCCAGGAGCTCGAATCCAACCAGTCGTGCCAGGACGGCCTCTTCTTTGGCGCCGCCCTGCTCAGCCTCGAGCAGATCGCCGAGGAGTGGAAGTTCTGGCGCGCCGTCGACGAGGATCCCGAGACCGCCGCCAATCCGCACGTGCGCAACCTCATGGCCAGCTGCCCGCACAAGTGGATCCGCCCAGAGTACTCCTGCCGCGGCTGGATCCCCCTCATCACCGACCACGCCGGCAACTACATTGGCATCGACCTCAGCCCCCATCCCGCCGGTGCAGGCTCTCCCGGACAGGTCATCATCTTTGGCAGAGACTTTGACACCAAGGTCGTCTGCTGGAAGGGCGAGGGCGCCGGAGGCTGGGGCCGCTTCCTTCAGACCTTCGCCGACGAGCTCGACGCCGGCGAATTTTGGACGCTCGAGGAGCTCACCAGCGCCAGCGAAGACGAGGAAGACGTCATCGGCTACCAGAGCTACTTTAGCGGCGGCGGCGCCGGTGCAGGTCAGGGTGGCGGTGATCGTGGAGGCGAGGGCGCCGCCGCCTTCCGTCTGGCAGGTCAGTACAAAGGCTGGCCGGTGCTCGAGGCGTGGGCGGACCGATCGGTGCGCCTGTGGGAGTCGGTCGGACTCGCACCAGGCAAGCCCGTGGGCAACGCGCAGCAGGCAGCGCAGCCCCAGCCCCAATCCGTAGTCAACCGGCAGTCGCAGCTCTTTGGCGACGACACGGGCATCCCGCCTTCGGTGCAGGCCGTCAACGAGAACGGCGAAGCAATCGATGCAGAGGGCAGCGGGTCGCAACGCCCCGCCATCGCCGTCGGCAAGGAGCTGTCCGGCGAAGTGTCGGTCGACGGCCCCGCGCATCCACTTGCGGATGCATCCCTGGCCGGCGACACGAGCGCCGAGGTGCTCATTGCTCCTGCGGATTCCACACTTGCCACGGACGCAACCGCAGTTGCCGTCGACGCGCAGGCCGCCGACACCAAGGAGGCCGATGGCGGCGTTGATGTGAATCTGACGCCCACCAACAGCACGCGACGAGTGTCTGGCATGCTGTCGCCGCCTTTGCCAGAGACCAAGGCGTCGTTGCGAAAGCAAAAGCAGCGCGAGGAAGGTTGGGGATCGCCCATGCTCAGCCAGTCGGGTGCGGAGGGGCAGCAGCCCCGCCGACCCGTGCGACCGGCGCCGGCTCCCGCTGCCACGCTGGATCTGCCTACGATCGAAGACGTCAAGGCGATCCAAGCGGCGGCGCTGGCCGACGACGGCAAGTCGCACAATGTGCAGTTCGATTCGCATTCTCAGGCGCGCAGCTCGTTCACCAACCTCGGCTTCCGCGATCTCGCGGGCAAGATCGGTGCGCCCGGCATGGGGCTGGGCGGCGGCAGCAACGGCAATGCGGTGGGCAGTCCCCAACAGCGCTCCGAGTCGGTCGAGCTCGAAACGAGGAGAAGCGTCGAGAACCGCAGTGCGAACAGCTACATTGTGGGCCAGCGCGGGCGAGCGCGTGGGCTGGGACTCGAGGCCGGCGAAGATGAGGCTGCCGTGGCGGCGTTCGGTGCGATGTCTGTCTCGGCTGCCAAGACGCGCGAGATGCCGTCGCTGATCGATGCCTCTTCGACGCCCAGTTCGCCCATGATCAGGGGCACGCCCAAGCTGAGTGAGGCCGAAGTGCCCGCTGCGCTGGCCTGATTGGCCTAGAGCACGTGTGCATGCCAATTCCATCGCGATTTTCCACCCTCTCAGTGTCTGTGTTTTCGTTTGGCGGTGTGTCTGGGTGTTGGATGCAGTGGTATTACGGGTTGGGAATGCGGGTTCAAGGATGAGGGGAATTACTTGCCGAAGCCAGGGAAGCATTCGGCGAGAGTCTGTGATGGCCAAAGTTGATCGAGGCAGGAAGAGGGGTGAGTATGATGCAAGGACTGGGGAGTGTCGTGTGTGAGAGTGTGTGTGAGTTGGTGCTTACCTTGTTGTGTCTGTCGGTTGCGTGTTGTTGGAGGGCAGGTTCACGGACGGTGAGGAGGAACGTCTGGCGACAAGTCATGCACATGACGTTCTTGGCGGCCTCGTTGACCTTCTTTTGCGACTTGGCTTCGCCTCCCGCCGCCTTTGCGTTACGCTCGCGTTTCTGCTGCGCCCTACATCCGCACCAAGAAACAACATCAACAACATATCCAAAATCTAAGTAAGGAGAGGGGGGGAAGGACTTACTTTGCACCGTTGCCCATGATGTTATTTCGAGACGTGAGGAGGACGACGAGGAGGAGGAGGATGGTGGAAGAACGTCAGGATAGAGGATGGCCGAGAAATTCGAGTGTCGTGCGTTCGAACTTGGCACGTTTTTCCACAAGACCCTGAACCCGCGCCGAAAAACCAAAAAAAACGGAAAATGTTACATCGCCGCTTTTGTCGGGATGGACTATTCGCTCCAGTTCGCCCTTCTTGCTTGCCTTGCACCACCAAGGTCATGCTCAGATAGCAATCGGGCTTGAATGGAGGCTGCTTGTGCGAAAAGGATCCGAAGAGCTTGCTGCCCAATACTGTCCGAGTGCAACATAAGCTGTGCAGTGGTTGCAGCAGCAGACGGGTACACTGCGCCTGGCTAGTGTCGGCTCGCCAGAATTGTGACTGGGCAGCCACTGTATACTCGACGAAACTTTAGAGAGCGAATAAAGTGCGAGCTCGGTGCCATGAATGGTGCGCGTCCATGAGCGAAGTTCAGCATAGCGAGGACAATGCACAAAGTCAGCAATGTGTTTGGGATCACACGCAAGCTTCCGCTCGAGCAAGGCGCTCCGTTCGAGCAAGGATGGTGGATTTGGCAACACTCGAAGCGTGGGAATGCCTCCGTCGCAACTCGGAGTGGGGGGGTTTGAGGTGTCATACGCTTGCTCACCATCCACCACTCGATAAGCTCCAGGACGGAACCAGCCGGGTTGAGCACCCACCGCATCTTGTGTGAGCTGCGAAGCCGGTGTGCCGGAAGCTTACAGCCTCCTGAGGAGGATGCGCAGCGACGTGTATCGACCCCATTTGCGATATAAGCCACGCGCTCGGTTCCTCTTGTGCCCGCTCGCTATGAGCAAGCTCTTCAAGAATGTGGCACCGGGACAGTGGATTTTTCACCACCGACGACTGGGTCAACGACCTCGTGTCCCGACACGATGTCGACCAGACCTCCATGGCCCCCGTGAGCTTCGAAAGCCTACACCTGATCCAAGAACACCAGGCCGCGCAACTCGAACACGAGGCCTTCCAAATCCCAGGCTGCGAATCGATCCTCTATAGCGAGTTTGTCATCGACGGCAATCAGGTCAACGCTCGCATCGAGTTCGACGTGCCTCAGCTCATGCTAGCTCCCACCCTCGAGCTCATCTGCAGACTTCCCGGCTGGATCACCATCAACTTCTAGTCAGGACCCAAACTCTCACCTCCAAACCAACGACGGCTCGGTCGTCGAATTGACTCGCTCAGCTCTTCTGAGCACAACGACGAGGAAATGAGGACCCACCAAGGATGATGAGCTCGCTCTGGCTCTCGCTTCGAGTAAGACCGCGAGCGACTAGTACCGCCCCTCGCCTTATAGTTCGCTTCACTACGTTCGGAATAGTGAAGCCTGAAGCAACGGCGGGACACTTGAGCAGACTTCATCAGGATCCCTCGTCGCAGTGACGCTGCTAGCCATACAATAGCGATTGGTTCGGCATGAACAATCAATGCGGCTGATATCGTATCGTGCACGCCGAGCAAGTGTAATGCATTGAGCAAAGCCTGAAAAACCAAATAAAATTGCAACAAAAAATGGACCCTTTTTAAGCGTGGTGCGAAGCTTTGAGCGCACAGATCCGCACCCAAACGTGCAGTCCAGCACAGTCAACACACCACCATCACACCTAACCTAACCACCAGCAACCGCCAGCATGTCGCGCGCCTCGCACCGGCCACGCAGGCGCAGCAAACGCGCTCTTCTCTCTCGACTCGCATGCGTTGCGCTCGCACTCTTTCTCCCGCACGCCGCTGCCTCTGCGTCGGAATCGCTGGGCGAGCAGCTGCTGCTCAAGCCGCTTGCCGACGGCCGCGTGTTGGCGTCGTTCGAGTTCACGCTCACCTCGGCGTCCGCAGGTACGGGGAGCTATGGATTGATGCCTCGCGCGCTCATGCAGCCGCTCGACCACTTTGGCGTGAGCGAGCTACAGCTCGCGCTCAACTCGGGGCGGTGGAGGTACGCCTCGTGGGGTTCGCCCGTCACCACGCTCCGGCGCCGTTCGAGCTACGAGAACACGCCACCGGGGCGCATGAGTGTGGGCGAGGAAAGCGTTGCCAGTGGCGCCGAGCTGGTAGCACGATTCGAGGACGAGCCGACCCCCGAGCAGTGGAAGGGATTGACGTCGGCACTGGCGGGGCTCTTCTGTGCATCGCTCGCGCTGGATGAACGACACACCACGCGGCCACAGTGGGCGTACAGACAGGAGGACGGCAGGAGGACACTGCATGCCATGCTACCCACCGAGGGTGTGTGCACCGAGAACTTGACGCCCTTCATCAAGCTGTTGCCCTGCAAGAATGCCGCGGGCGTGGCGAGTTTGTTGAATCCGCTCGCGCTGTTTGGCGCGCCGTTCCACGGGCTGGCGGTGCATGCGGCGCGCAAGGAGCTCGGGTGGGAGGTCAAGTTGACCTTCACCACCGTCTTCGCCCCGGCGGCGACGAGGGACATCAGCGTGCGCGACTGGTCGCTGCAGTCGCTCTTTGGGAGGAGCCTCGAAAAGGCGTGTCCGCTCGCCGACGGCGCGGTTGTGCGCGTGCTCGCGCCACCCAAGACAGACGGCGCAGTGGCGCATGTGGTGGCGCCGCTACCGGAGTGGCCAACGTGCTCGGCGCCGGGGGAGAAGCGCGCCCGCGAGCATGCGCGGTTGTTCCCCGTGCTCGACGACGAGGACGAGGTGACGGATGGCCTAGCTGCATCTGGCTTGCTTGCATTCGAGACCGACGAGGAAGGCAACGCGTACCGCGACCGGCTGCGCACGCGCTGGGCCCACTACCTCGCGCACACCGACGGCGAGTACATCTACGACGTATCGACGCTCACGCGCGCATCGTCCGAGTGCCAACGTGCGGCTCACTCGCAGGGGTCGCTGGATATCCGCATGGCCTGGCCGAATGAGCAACGCTTCGCCTACCCGCTCAACACCACCCCGCCCCTGCTCACTGCGGACCGCACACTGGTCGGACACGACCAGCAGCGTGGACGGCTTCAAGTCGTGCTCACCAATGCGGACACCGTACCACAGCGCGTGGTGTGGTTCGAGGCGCTGGGCAGCTTTGTCGTGCCCTACCTGCACACGCGCACGCACTCGACCCGTTTTCTCCCGGATCAGGGCGAGGACGAGTTGATGCGCGGGATCCAAGACTTTGCGGATCCAGTCGAGCAGCTGTCGTACCAGCCTCGCTCGCGCGACTCGGCGTTTGTGCTGGAATCGATCCTTCGCATCCCACCGCGCTCGGTGGTCAAGATCAGCTTCGAGGTGGCAAAGGCCTTTGTGCCCTACTCGCAACACCCACCCGATGCGCATCGGGGCTTCGACCTTGCCCCCGCCATCTTCTTTCCCCTAGNGGCAAAGGCCTTTGTGCCCTACTCGCAACACCCACCCGATGCGCATCGGGGCTTCGACCTTGCCCCCGCCATCTTCTTTCCCCTAGCACCCACAGACCCACGAGCCAAAGTGGGTGCGCTGCAAAAGCACACTGGCGCAAAGGTGGTGCCCAAGACCAAGGGTAGGATCTATACCCTGCCGAAACTGGTCGAACTCGCAACGCCCGACTTTTCGTTTGTGTATACCAACATCATCTTTACCAGCACGGTGGTGGCCTTGTTCTTTGGGTCCACGCTGAATACCCTCCTGCGCACGTACACCGACTTTGTACTCTAGCTGCACACGATGCAGAAGGATCCTTCGTAGCAATCCTGGCTCGACGTGTGTGCTTGCGGGCAGGCTGGCGATCCAGCTGCTGATGGAGTTGGTGTAGTGCCGATGTATGATTTGAAAAAAGTCGTAGTGACCACAAACATTACCGGGACCTGGTCGCTTGATCGTAGGCGTGAGTTGGTTGTCGGCAACAGTTCTGGGCAGATCTTGATCTCGGGCGCCAACATGACGATTCGGGGATCGGACATCTACAAGCGGCGGGAAAGGAAGCGCTGGAGATGGAAGCGCGAGATCAGCTCGTCGCCGCTCGCCAAGTTGCCTTGGCTGTCGTTGCAACTTGGCACGCGCACGACACTGTCGATCCAAAGCAGCTGGCAAGGCGTTGCCGAAACCTGCTTCTAGATTCAGCTTGGATCTTGGAAGCACGCCTAGAACTGGTAGTGCCAGCAGCTTGAGAGAATGGGATCAGCATTCGTACCGTAGTACGGCAGAGCATCACTTTATCGCCGTGGATGGCAGCCTGTCCAACTCGAAGCCTGTCTTGTCTCCTTTTTTTCCCTGAGCTCTCCATCGTCTAGTCGCTTCCGTGCATGCAATCCGGTCGGACATTCATTCACTCGACCCAATCTGGAGCAGTGCGTGCGGGTGTTTCGACATGCTCTGCCATGCACAGCAGTCGTATCGCCAACCTCATCAACGACAACGGCCACGGCCATGACAATCGCCTCTTGTCTCTTCCTGACCCTACGTCGCCGAAATGCATCTACGCACGCCTCACAAGCCTGCCTCGACAGCATCATTTCCATCCCCTAGCCTCATCTCGACACTCGTCTCAAAGTCACGTCGAAAAGGTGGGCATCGTTTGCGATCCAGACGATACATCGGCGAGAGAGTGGTAACAGTGTCCATTAGAGTCAAGTGAGCCTTATCCGCCCCATTCGAAGCACTCGCTGACGACATTGACGACTCCCCTTGTATCGCCCTTCCTGACCTTCTTGGGATCGATCTGCTTGCTCACGATACTCCTCAGCACGATGTCGAGGCTTTTTGGACCACACCCGGCCACCAGCGTCCTGCCCTCGGTACGATCCACCTCCTGCCGGATGATGCGGTCGAGTTTCGGATGTCCTGGCTGGGCCAATTCTGCCACAACGCGCAGATCCACATCCTCCTCGGCATCCAGGTCGATCGGCGCATCCTCGAGCGGCGACTTAGCCGACGCCACTGGCGCCACCGCTGTGTTCAGCAGGTGCAGCGTCGACCCATTCCGAGGCGTACTGCCGCGCAGAGCCTCAGTGTCGTCGGCAGCTAAAAAGCCAGAGTGCGATGCAGCGTCAAAGCTCGCACTGTACGGCGTGGCTAGTGGCGATGCAGCGAAGCGTGGCGTACTCGAACCCGATGCACCACCGCCGCCAAATGCGGGAGGAGGCACAAGCTCGTCATTCGCAGAACCGGGACGTGAGGCGCTCGGCGACATGTATGCCGACAGCGGACCCAGATTCGAATCGGTCGTGCCGTACGGTGCGGCGGGAGGCGATGTGGTTCTTCGACCACCCATGTGTGCACCGCCAGGCTGCAGACGTCCTGCCTGCGCAGGCAACCACGTCGAGTCATTGTCACCCTCGACACCGTCGGCCAGATCCTGCTCCACGGCAACCGCGCGTCGCGGTGGATAGGCAGCGCCAGGTCCTGCAGAAGGGTAAGAAGGTCGCTCGGGTGCTGGTGCAGCATTGAGGCGCTGCGGCCGACCGGAGCTGATGCGCCCCTCGTACATGGCGCGCTGCGAC